CCCACCCCATCCCAGATGAAATGTCCCACTCTCACTAAAACCCCACAGAAACTCCAATGCACACAGGGCCCCAAATGCCATCTCTTCCTTACCCTAAATCCTACAGCTCCGTGGGCTGCTAGGGCCCAGCAGAAACCACACAGAGCCCCACCCTCTGCTAATTGCTGAGTAGCTAAGAGCATGCCTCACACACACACACCCCAGCCTCAACTTCCACATGTCTAAGTGCTCTTCTAGCTCTGACATTAGTATTCCATGTGCTTCCCCTCCTCACCCCCAGGGTCAGCTGAAGGTAGAGAAAGCCTTGACAAAACCCCTCTTCCACGCAGCTCCTCTGAAGAGCTGCCTCCTGGGAGCTGAACTCACAGAGCCCCTGCTTGCTCCCTGCTCACGGAGCAGAGGCCTGGCCCCGGCCCCTCACCCATGAGCTGCCAAGCCCAGCTTTCCTCAAGGCTGCCATCCTTTGAGGGAAGAAATAACCTGAGGGGTCATGGGCCAGCTCAGTAAGAGCAAAGCCATCAGACTCTTCCCTGACCGACTGCCAGGGGCATAAAGGAGCCACACTGGGGTCTTGTTTTTATTTCTTGGCTGCGGGAAAGGGCAAAGCTTCTTCAGGACTACACATTTCTGCAGAGGCCTGGCTCTTCCCAAGGGAAAAACAGAGTACTAATTCCCAGAGAGCAGAGAGTTGCTGTCATTGTGTTAATTATCTGTCCCGGTACAGGGTGGAAAGGGCAGGGGAAACATCTGGACAAGGACAGAGCAGTCATTTAGTGTCAGCGAGAGCGTGACGGCACCAGAGGAGCAGCAACAAGTAGGTTGGGCAGCACCCATCAGAGGAAAGGGACAACCCTCAAGGTCACCCAGAATGGAGGACCTACTGAGCTCTACCTGTTCTGGGCTGCCTACAGGGAGAGGAGAACTGGAGGTTCCCACCCAGGACCAGATACAGAGGGAAGGGGAAGCTGCTGTGCCAGCCAGGAGCCGCCCAGTCTGATGGAGGAGTCACGTCCTACCCCTCCCCACTCCCCACGACACTGCTGCTCCAGCAACCCCAAATAAAACAGCCCCATAACTAAGGAATATGGACCCTCCCTGTGCTAATGAGTGGTTTCTAAGTATGGCCACACCCTTCCTGGCAGTCAAAACTGACTTCCCTAGCAGCCCCACAGGCCTCCAACTCCAGGACTGGGATTGGACCAGGAGCTGAAGCCAAGGACTCTTGTGGCCTTAGCTGCTGTCTGAAAAGCCATCACATCTGGAAACCAGTGGGAAGAAAGTTGTGGGGCCATGCATCACTTGCCTACAACAGGAACATGCAAGCCATCTGGTGGCTAAGGGGTGGGTGGAAATCCTCAAAGACCATCCCAACCTTAGGCCAGCAGGCCACCTTTTCCCTCAGGTGCCTCTCCCAGGTTCCCCAAACCCATCCTCCTCAAGAAGGTCTCAGGCCGGCAGACATGCAGAAGGCTCTGGACTCAAACATAAGTCCTCCTTGGCCACAAGCCCCCTGGAGACTCCCCCATAAAATCAACAGCACAGGTCTGACCAGGGCCAATACAGCCTCTCAGACGGCCAAATTAGTAGCCTGTCCATGGTCACAACAGCGTTACTTTTTGTGATGAAAAAAGACCAAACTGGACCCCGCTCAAATCAAACCCACAGACTTGGCCTTCCCAATGGGCCAGCCTCTAACCATCAATCCAACAGGCCCAGGGAAGGGGTTCTTTATAGCAGGAACTGTTTTGCTCTGCACAGACACCCACTGGGGAGTACTAGGAAGGGTGCTGGAAGTAAAAGTCAGAAAAAAAATAGTGGAGAAGTATCTCAGCATTTCCAGACCCATGGTGATCCAGGTATGGCTTTATACATATATGTATACACAGAGGGGAGCGGGTTATAATGTTTCTTCAATTATTTGGAAGCCTCCCGTGAAATCCCTTACCTCATAGAGCCTCCCTGACAAAGGAGTTTCAGGCGCTACTGAGGAGCCTCACACCCAGCGCCAACCAGCACCTTCACCACACACAGTTAAGGCCCTGAGGGTGACCCCAGCAAACATTTTGCAAGCTTGCTATGGGTCTGGACCTATACTGAGGCTTTTATAGACACTGTATTATTTAATCTCACAAGTCTTATGATTATTATTGTCACCTCTGTAGAACTGAGCAAACAAGGTAAGTAACTTTCCTGCTAGTAGGTCACAGGACTAGGGGTGAACCTCCAGTCTCCAGGTTCTTAAACACCATGCTGCCATGCCTCCCTGAGAGGTCCAGGGCAGCTCCTGGAGGCTGCCGGGCAGGAGAGCTGCAAAGCTGCAAGCTTGGCTTCAGGACTGCAGAGGCCTCCCAAGCCCAGCCCTAGCTCTTAACCCCCTAGCAGCAAAGAGAATGGTGGAGGGCTGCAAAGGGCCAGGCCATTTCGTCAGGAGCTCTCATACTTCTGTGTGTGCCCTGCTACTCATAGTCCTGGGCTTTCCCAGGCTCTAAGTTCAGTATCGTCTCTCCTTATCACATGAGAGGCTCTTCAAGGGTAAGGTACATCTCCCAGCTCAGAACTACCAGACACTGTTACCAGGACCTCCTTCTAGCATCACTGCCGTTCACTGACCAGCAACTGTGTCCAGAAACTGCAACAGGTACCTTTACTGCATCCTCATTTCATCCCTTAGATCAGCCTTGTAAAGGTGTGAATTAGCTCCATTTTACACATGAGAAAACTGAGGCACCAAGAGTTTCCCTGACTTGCCATACAGTAGAAGGTCTGGGGCTGGGATCTGTTCCATGCAACACCACAGCCCTCTCCTCTTAACTATGAGGCTGCCCTTCCTCCATCAGGTTCTGTCTTGGTGACACAGGGCTGCCATCTGTCCTCCTTGGGACCACCACAGCTGGATCCTAGAGTTAAAGAGCAGATACTGTTCTTCCCTACCATTATCCAGAGCTGAGGACGGTACACCCCGGTCTTCTCTGTCTTGCCCTCTCCACACTAAGAAATGTGCAGACTCACTCTCTTAGCAGCCCACACCAGCGTGCTCCAGGAAATGCCACCCGGAGTGGCCATTAGAGCCAGAAGTGGGAACTGGGGACTGGGGTGGGAGCAGCAGCCCTAGCCCTCTGTCAGTGGACATGCTTTTACATCCAGGTACTAGAGGATTAAGCGAATTTCACCAACTTCCTCTGCCTACCACAAGTCCCCTCTCCTCTCCTGCCCCCTTCAGATTCTATAAATAACCCAGGTCAGTGCATCAGAGGAAAGGCAGCCAGGCGGGTGTGGAAAGATCCTGGTGGAAAAGATGACTTCTATAAAGTAAATTAAGGCTCCTATTCAGATCAAGGATGGCAAGTCAAATTCTCCAAGAGGGGCTGTCCTTGGCTGAAAACAGGCCCAACTGGGCCTACATGCATAGCTAAGGATGATCCTGGGGCCAGGAAGAAAGCAAGGGCAGAACAACATGAATGTTCCCTCCCCACCCCCCACCCCCAAGTCGATGAGCTCACAGAAACCCCTCCCCATAAGCGGGGAGACTTTTTAGAAGTCCCTGAGATGTGTTATCTACTCAGGCACTACTCAGATTAGCTGGTGGAGGCTGAAGAATTAGGGAAGAAAAGAGTGGACTGCATTTGGGGCAGCAGCCTTTTTGGAAAAAGAAAGGGCTAAGGGAGCCACAGGAGACTTCCCACTCCACCCCAGCCCCTCGGGTTCCCTGAGCCAGGAAGGAGGAAGAGGACAGAAAAGGGGAGGAAAAAAACAAAACAAGGGCCAAGCTCTACCACATGATACCACAGGAACCAAACAGCTAGTCATGAGGAAAGGGGAGAAGGCCAGGGGAGGGGAGATGAAGCCAGGTCACAGCCCTGCCCAGAAACCCACCTGTGCTAACCCACCCTCTATCCCAGACCACAAAAAGCCATGAAGGCCCTTCCCTACCCACATTTTTGAAAATGTTCAAGGTCAGATCCTTTTCTATCCAAATCCTGCTTTCATTTGGATCTGTACCAGGTTCATCCTTCTCCTCCAGCAAGCCTTCCTAGATTTACTCAGTTGGATGCCATTTCCACTAGGACAAACCTTTTCATACCTGTCCCCACCAAGGGCACACCCCTGCCTTCATACCCTTCCGCTCCCCAAACAGGGCCCACGGGGTCCAGGGGAGGCATCCAGTCCACCTCTCCAGTGATCCACAGCAGGTTGTCAGCCCTGGGCTTTCAGATCCTGCCCAAGCCCCAAACAGGAAACTGGGCTCAAGTTTGAAGCCTTGATCTCAAACATAAGAAAGGTTAAAAGCTGCCAAAATAAACTATTAAAAAAAAAAAACCACTGGCCCTTCTAGATAGAAGTGACTAGATTATCTCCTGCTGTTTTAACCAAGCTGCAGCTTTCACCTCAGCAGTACACACAGGACAATTAAAGGCGAATTTGTTTCCCTCCTTTAGTTAGGAGGTTCTCCTGTTCTTAGACCAGGGATTCAGAGGGGCAGGGTCCTCTCCAGGCAGCACAGGGCATTCGAGTACCAGGAAAGAAGCTGATGCCCTCCATAGTCTCTAGATTTGGTGGGGCACCTCTGTGCAATCTTGCCCTCAAGGCTAACACTGTACCCTCTTTCCCCCTGTGGGCCCAGCTTGGGGCAAGCGCCTGCAGTTCCGCTCCCCTTCCAGGAAAAGGAGAGACGCCCGGGGCCGAAAGAATGGCCCAAAGATTTTCCTTCCTGAGGTTGCACACAGTCCAAGAACGTCTGGATCCCATTCCTAAGTTTACTTGACAATCGACCTCTAAGGCGAGGCCACCAAGGACCCACCAGCGGCCAAGCACAGAACTGCGCACCGGCAGGGATTAGAGGGGACCCCAAATGTGAAGAACCAACTTGTCGGTTTACGCCCTTGAGCACGAGGCAAAGGGCTTGGCGCCCCGCCCCGCCAGCCTTCGGGGTCCTGCTTTCCTATCAGCCCCGCCCGGCGAGGCTTTCAACCGTTGACGCGCCCGCGGCGCCCCTCACTCACTGTGCGTGCTGGGCGCGGCCTGCGCCGAAGACCTCGTCCAGTGCCACGGTGGCCTGGCCCAGGAACTTGTCGACGCCGATGAGCGAGCGGTGCATGGTGGTGAGCACCAGCTCGCAGGCGGCGGCCGAGCCCGCAGCCCAGGGCGCCGGGCCCGCGTCAGCCTCCTGAGCCCGCAGCAGGCCGTCCAGGGCGCCGGGTGGCAGCTCGAAGGAGCATTCCTCGCACCACTCTGGGCAGCCTGGCGTCTTCTCCACCACCGACGTGCTGTACTTCTCGCGGCCCACCTGGATCACCGTGTACGCGTCGCTGGTACTGCCCGCGCCGGAGCTCTTGCCCCGGAGCCCGCGGGCCCGTAGCACGGTCACCTGGACGTGCGTGGGTAGCCAGCGGGAGGGCCCCGCCGCCGGCTCGGCACCCCGCACCAGGGCCATGGTGGGGAAAGCGGCGGCAGGGGAAGGCTGGCCGAACGGGCCGCCGACACCGGACCAAGTGAGAAACTGAGCAGCGGCGGAGGGCGGTCAGGCGCCAACTCTGAGCGTCGCCGCCGCCGCCGCCTGCCTTACCGGCCGGCGCAGCTGCGCGCTGGTGAGTACCAGGAAAGAAGCTGATGCCCTCCATAGTCTCTAGATTTGGTGGGGCACCTCTGTGCAATCTTGCCCTCAAGGCTAACACTGTACCCTCTTTCCCCCTGTGGGCCCAGCTTGGGGCAAGCGCCTGCAGTTCCGCTCCCCTTCCAGGAAAAGGAGAGACGCCCGGGGCCGAAAGAATGGCCCAAAGATTTTCCTTCCTGAGGTTGCACACAGTCCAAGAACGTCTGGATCCCATTCCTAAGTTTACTTGACAATCGACCTCTAAGGCGAGGCCACCAAGGACCCACCAGCGGCCAAGCACAGAACTGCGCACCGGCAGGGATTAGAGGGGACCCCAAATGTGAAGAACCAACTTGTCGGTTTACGCCCTTGAGCACGAGGCAAAGGGCTTGGCGCCCCGCCCCGCCAGCCTTCGGGGTCCTGCTTTCCTATCAGCCCCGCCCGGCGAGGCTTTCAACCGTTGACGCGCCCGCGGCGCCCCTCACTCACTGTGCGTGCTGGGCGCGGCCTGCGCCGAAGACCTCGTCCAGTGCCACGGTGGCCTGGCCCAGGAACTTGTCGACGCCGATGAGCGAGCGGTGCATGGTGGTGAGCACCAGCTCGCAGGCGGCGGCCGAGCCCGCAGCCCAGGGCGCCGGGCCCGCGTCAGCCTCCTGAGCCCGCAGCAGGCCGTCCAGGGCGCCGGGTGGCAGCTCGAAGGAGCATTCCTCGCACCACTCTGGGCAGCCTGGCGTCTTCTCCACCACCGACGTGCTGTACTTCTCGCGGCCCACCTGGATCACCGTGTACGCGTCGCTGGTACTGCCCGCGCCGGAGCTCTTGCCCCGGAGCCCGCGGGCCCGTAGCACGGTCACCTGGACGTGCGTGGGTAGCCAGAGGGAGGGCCCCGCCGCCGGCTCGGCACCCCGCACCAGGGCCATGGTGGGGAAAGCGGCGGCAGGGGAAGGCTGGCCGAACGGGCCGCCGACACCGGACCAAGTGAGAAACTGAGCAGCGGCGGAGGGCGGTCAGGCGCCAACTCTGAGCGTCGCCGCCGCCGCCGCCTGCCTTACCGGCCGGCGCAGCTGCGCGCTGGGCTGGGCTGGGCCGAGCCGGCAGCCGCCTCCCCGCCTCCCCGCCTCCCAGGCCGCCGGCCGCCGGCCGCTACGTCAGCGCCCCGCCCTTCGCTCCGCCCAGCGGCCGGCGACCCGCGACCGGACCCGCGCGGCCGCGCAGCAATGCTGCGGCCGCGGACCGCCGTTCTCTTGTCCCGCGGCCGCAGGCCGGCCTGGAGCTGGAGACGGGGCGGGGGTGGGCGCGCGGCCTCTGCAGCGGGGTGGGCGGGGCTCCCGCCTTGGCCCCGCCCCGGGCTGCGGGCCTTCCAAACCCCACCTTGCCGCAGGCTGCGCTACATCCTCCGCCCGGGGTGAGAAGCCCGCTCCGCGTGCTCCGCCCCATCCCCAAAGTCCCTGCTGCCGAAAGCCCTTGCCCTAAAACTGATCCAGCCGCCCCTCCTGGGATTGCCATCCCTTCGGCGCGGACAGGTGAGGGTGATGCAGATTCCCGCTGCGCGCCTCGCCCACCGCGCTCCCCTCTCTCCAGCAGGTCACTGCCGGGGAAGGTGCCTGCGGGAACCCGGAGCGATTCTCCCGCATCGGCGACCGGGAAGCGGGTAAGATGCCGCTCCCCTGATGCGGGAGACCGCGGTGCGGAAGGCCTCAGCCGGCCCTGCAGCGGAAAGCAGATGATAAATAATGAGTAACTACATCAATATTTAAGTGTTCCCTCGGAGCGCTGGGGCTCATGCGTCACGGATTGGGGGACGTTATAGGCACTGGTGAGGGGTTTAAACAATTATTTCCACCCAGTAAGTGCCTACTGTGTGCTGTGGGCAAAGCCCAGGGTATTACTTGAACGCTTTGTTTTTTATTAATAATGATAACAATGGTTAATAATTATAGATTCTGGATTTCGACCAGTGCTGCTCCATGTGCTTAATATGCATTACCTCATTTCATCCTCAGAGCAAAGCTGTGGGGTGAGTATGGTTTTTATTCCTATTTTCCGGAAGATAAAGTTGCAGCTTAGAGAGGTTAACCTGCCCAAGATCCGTAGCTGGCAGAGGCAGGATTTGAATCAACAGAGATGACCCCAAAGCCTGTGCTTTTTTTTTTTTCTTAACTTTCAGAGCCTGTACTTTTAAAATAATAATTTAAAAATAAAACATAACACACAGCTAAAAAAATAAAATAGGACAGCAGCCCTTATGATTCAAAGTAAAAAACTCACTCTCCTCCCCTCTATGCAGAAATAACCACGAATTGTCACTTGTCTTTTCAGGCCTGCTGTGTCTTTCGTACCTCTACATAAATGCTTACATACCTATATCTGGATTTACCCGGCCTAGCCATTATCTGTCTTCCTGCTATGATAAATAATGTATTTCACACCCAGTTCCCTCCCTTAATCTGGTGTGGTTATCCTACTATTTTTAGCTCCTCTGTTGGATACCTTCATAGTAGAAACCTTCATTTCTTTTAGGAGAGACTTGGCTTCCTATGCTGTGAGAGGGCTATGCCAAAACCTTCACTCTCCAGGGCATCCCCCGCAGGAATATGGATGTAGGAATGCAGTACACCAAGCCCAGGAAACCCAGGGTACACACCCACCATGGGCCCCAATCCTGACAGCCTCTCACCTTAACTCTGTGATAGCAGACTGGTGGAGGCAGCCCAGCCACTGAGCCCCATGGTCACCATCTGTGTGGACAGCACCTGGCTGTGGAGACAGCCAATGGATCTGCCTATGGATCTTGGCTTTCTGCCATGGAGCAGCAATAAGACCTGATGATTAAACCAGCTCTCTAACCTCTCTCAGCCTCATTTCCTCATCTAGAAAATGGGAATAATGATTCCTACTTCAACAGTTGTTGAGATTACATGCTAAAATTTTGTCAAAGATTTTAATGCAGTGGAGACCATCACAAATGATCTCAAGAAATATGAACATATACAACTTTTTTCTGATTATAAAAGTAATTTGAAAAAATATAAAGAAAATAAAAATAGATCATAATCTCACCATCCAGAAATAAACACTGTTACAAGTTGCTGTTTTTCTTTCCAGTCTTAGCACTATATGTTATTGTTTTATATGCATTGTGGTTGTGAGGCAACTTTAGTATAATGGTTAAACCAGTAGGCTTTGGAATTGTGTTTCTACCATTTACTTTATGTGTCCTACCTCATTTACCCCTGCAGACAACCATTTAAGGCAAGTGCTACTTGCTATCCTCAGTTTCACTGATGAGGAATTAAAGTAGAGAGAGCCTGAGTAATTTTCTCCCAGTTTCTGACTGGAAAATTGCAGAGACTGGACTTGAATTCAGGTCTGAGTAACCACCTATGACACTCTGCTCTCTCACTAGACTTGAATTCAGGTCTGAGTAACCACCTATGACACTCTGCTCTCTCACTAGCTTGTTGGTTATCTAAGCACTACATCACTGAAGTCATCACTGAAGGCTTACCTAAGGTTATAGAATCAGGATGCCCCCACGTTAAGAAGAGATTCCCCAAGGACTTGGGAAATGAAGGTATCTTTACCACTCACTCTCCTTTAATGATTCTCTTCTGTTTCCTAGCCCCCCAACATGCCTGGACTGCCTGTTCCCACCTACCTACCTCCCCCTCCCAACAGAGTAACAAGTCTTCAGGGAAGGGCAAAAGAAAATTCAGCAGGACTACTCTCTCCTTCCTCCTGCCCTGGCCCATGCAGTGTGGCAAGCTCAGGCTTCTTGCTGTGTCCCAGGATAGCAGCTGTAAGAGGGCAGGGAAGCCAGACCTGGCCCCCTGCAGATCACTGGGCCCTAGAAGAGAAGGGCAGATCCACTAGCTGTTCCTGGTTGATAAGAGAGCAGAAACTGAAGACACGGAGTTCTTGGCCACCTAGAGGTATTTCCGCCTTTAAAAGATGAGGCCACCTAAGCCCCCCACCCCCTACAGCCTGCCTTGAGGGTTAAACGAAGAACCCTGAGATTCCTCTGTCCTCCAGGGCTGGATATGCTCATGCCTTCCTGGGCGTCTAGCCCGTTGGAAACAGTTCTTGCTGTAAAGAGTAGTCCTTTGTGTAATCTCCACCCGTTGCTTCTCTCCACGATACCATGAAAGCCCGCTTACCCTTACACACAGGCACTTCAAATATATTTGTCGGGCTCTTCAACCTACCTTCCCTGGTGCTTCACCTCTCCTTCCTGAGTCTGTTCTCTAGACCCCTCACCAACTCTAGACCCCAACCAGAGTTGCACAGGCCTAGGTTCAAATCCTGATGCCAGCCATTACCAGTGTTATAAGCCTGGGTAAATTACTGAACCCCACTGAGTCTCAGCTTCCTCATCTATAAAATGAGCCTAAAAATAGGAAGTCGCCTCACACGGTTAATGTGAGAGCTGACCTAAGACACACTAAGCAGTAATGAGTATTATCTTAGAATTCTTTGCTGAAAGCAAAAGCTTATGCCTTCTGGCCTCATTTGTAATTCTTTGATTGCCAATGAGATGGAACTTCTTTTTCAGTTGTCAGTCATTTGTATTTCCTCTTTTAATGAGTTGTCTATTTTCTGAATTGTCTGCTTTCTATACCCATTTTTCTTTGAAGCCTTAATTTCTTATTTATATTAACCCTATGTTAAGAATAGTGACACTTTATGTTTTATATCTATTGCAAATATGTTTTGACGTAAGTTATGTTGTCAAATCCTTAAATTTCTTCCGTTGTTTTAAGCTTAAGTTCTTCCACACTCACAGGTCCAATAATACTCATATTTTTTCTAGTTTTTAAGTTGTTTGGCTTTTTCTTTGTTCTTTTATTCCCTTTAAATTCTTCTAGAAACTATTTTAGCGAATGAGTTGAGGTGAAAACCTAACCTTCTGTCCTCCAACAGCTATCCAAGTGTCCCTATAGTTATTGCAAACCTCTATCCCTTTGCCAATGGTTTTCACATATAAATTCTT